CTAGTGTTATGGATGGTATGTTGAATTGACACTTGCTGGCCAATTTGTAACACCCAACTGATCTGACTCAGTGTGGTTGGTGCTAGGTATGGAAGGCCCACCTGAGGATTGTTGCCAACATAAAAATGAGATCTAGAGAAGAAGAGAAGCTGTTGGCAGCTGTTGGTTCTAGTGGGTGTTGTTGGTTCTCCTGGAGGAGCTTGTCATGCTGGCTTTCATGACAGGAGCTTGTCTGTTCTCATCTGCTAAACTGATCATGTGAGGGGGGCCTTGCCCCACAGCTCAGTTGTTCAACGTGCTGCTCGGGCAAATGCAGTCAGGTGCAGGAGAATTCAGCAGGATCCCCAGCCCCACAAGTCACATGACACTTGCCCTGAAGGCAGCCAGAACTAGACGATCAATCAATCAATCCTAAACTGATCATACCTTTTTGGCAAAGCTCAACCTTTATGTCTTTTTTAAACTTGCTGATCATTTTGTTAATTAAGCTCATTATCTGTTTAGTTAAATCATTTCTGAGCTTATTGAACACTTTATTGATCTGGTTGTTCACCACTTCATATATATCAGCTATTTGGTTTTTTATTTTCTCCCTATGAATGCTTGTTGGGTCAGCCTTGGGAGAATTAGGAGTTTTTGGAGGTATTTGGTTGACTTGTTTTCTTATTTTTTGTTGTTGTCATCATTGTGTGTGTGTGTGTGTGTGTGTGTGCGCACCTGCACATGTGCACTCACGTGTGTGTATATTTATGCTCAGGGTTGGAGGTTGATTAGAGTGGAGAGGCTCTGTTGCTAGCATGGAGATTGCTCTGGTTAGTATATGCTTCCCAGTGATGAAATATTGTCTTTAGTTACTTTTTGATGTTTATCTACCTCTTCAAACTACTCAATTTAATGTGATCAGATATAGTTGCTGTGTCATGAGGAAAGAAGCCCTATTGGTCACATCAACAGTGTGTTCAACCACATGTCATTCATGTACATTAAAACTTGTTTTGACAATTTCACCCTCTTATCAATGAGTCATAAATACTGCAGTGTACTACTACTGACAGGAACGGCAGGGATGTCTTGAGTGAGAGAAGGGGAAAGGAAGTGAACAAACTACATTAGAGAGAAAAGAAAGAGAAACAAGAAATAATAATAATTCAGAGAAAGAGGGGAGATTGATCTTTGTTGATAACCTTGAACTCTAAATGATCCAGGCTGGGATCAAGCTTGCAATCATCCTAGCTAGAATTCCCAAAGCACTGAGATACAGGTGTGCACCATCATGCCCAGTTTATACTTTGATATGACTGGGAGTTTACTCATATCAGTCTCACCACAAACTCATTAGTAATGTCTTTTTTTTTTTTTGGTGGAACCGGGGATTGAACTCAGGCCCTTGTGCTTGCCAGGGAAGCGCCTATTCCACTGAGCCATCTCCCTGTTCCCTGTCTTTTTTTTTTTTTTTTTTTTAAGTAGTAATGTCTTGCTTTGAGATATTGCCATGACCATGATGGTGCTAGGAAATATGACAATTTCAGCTTGCTATTTATTTATTTATTTGCACTAGAGATTGAACCTAGGGCTTTCTTCTTCTTCTTTTTTTCTCCATATACCTTGAGGGCAGGTTTGGCTGGCTTGAGTTGTGAGGATCGAACCACAGCAACCTGAGCCTGACTGCTGTGTTGAAGCAGCCACTTAAAGAACTGAGCTAAAGGGCAGGCCTCCAGGTCTTTCATACTGAGCTACATCTTCAATCCTTTTTATTTTTTAATTTTGTGTCACGAAATTATAAGTGCCCAAGCTCAGCTTAAACTTGTTTTGGTTTTTCCGAAGTATGGGATTACAGGTGCGTGCTGCCACATTTATCTTCATATAGTGGACTACTGCTCATTGTAATTCAGAGTCAGAATCTAGGACTGACTCTTCATGGTCAGTTTATTTTATTGTTTTATTTAAGAAAAGCACCTTCAGCCAGGCAGGCAAGATAGCTCAGCAGATAAATGCCTACTTGGGTAAGTTCAGGGACCAGGATTCAATCCTTGGTCCTGCACACCATGATGGCCCCACCCTCAGAGCGCATTGAGCCTACAAATGAGTCCAGGTGTGTGATGCAGGCCTACGGTCCCAGTACTGGAGAGGCTGAAAACGGAAGGATCACTACAAGTCTGAGCTGCAGAGAGAGACCCTGTACCAAATACATAAAATGAAAAAAAAAAAAGTATTAGCTAATATTTATAATTAAAATGCTTTTTTCCAAAGTAAAAATGATAACATTGTGTGGGAGTAAAAAAATAGGACTCCAAACAGCTGGAATGTAGGAGAAGAATCAGGTCTCTGCCATTGATTTCCTGAAAATAAACTAAGCCTGGATTTTAGAAAAACATCCTGGGCCAGGGGTGGTGGTACATGTGAGTAATCCCCATACTTTAGGAGGCAGAGATAGGAGGACTGAAAGTTCAAGCCCAGCCTGCACAACTGAGCAAGACTATCTCAAAATACATAGTAAAAAAGTACTGTGGATTTAGATTAATGGAAAGACTCTAGGTTCAATCCATATTACAGAAAAACAAATATTGGTGATTTTTTAACCTCAAATAGAAAAATAAGGATCTCCAATATATGGATTATGGTGGTGGTAGTGGTGGTGGTGGTATGGTGTATATGTGTGTGTGTTTTTGTGGTTGGACCAAAATTCAGCATACTCCTAACATTCATAGTGTCAATAACAGTCCCCAAAAACTTGCCTAAGTACATTTTATATATTAATCAATATTCACACCCAGTTTAATAAGTAAATACTCTTTCTTTTTTGTATTGAGGATTAAATCCAGAGGCATTCTACCACTGAACTATTGCTAAATTGCCCATGCAGGACTTAAATTTGCATTTGTCCTGCCTCAGCCTCCCTTGATGCTGGGATTACAGGCATACCACGTCCAGCTAGCCTATGGTATATAGAAAGGAACCTACACAAAGAAGGTGCTATTAATACACCTGAGGCTGGTGAGTGAGCTAGATTGTAAGTCAGGGACTCAGCACCTGAAATCAGGCAGTCTCACTTCATACTGTTCCTTTTTCTCCGTGTAAGCCCCAGACAGCAAACACAAGCCAGAGTTCATTTTCCTTGTCTCTGTTCTTCAGTCTTCAAAATCTACCTCCTCTTTCTCTACTAAACACTAAAGCCGAAAGCTCCCATGTGTATCAACTTTTGCAGATAAGTGTCTGGGTGTAGGAAGTAGGGCTGCTAGATCCTCCCATTCAGTGACTTATGGTGTCCTGGCACATGAAATTATTCTTCCTCACAGGAAGATTATTTCAGATAGGAAACAATAATATCTATCTTGTTTAAGAGCAGGTTAATTGATCTGGCAAAATTAATATCTTTGGGGCCGGGGAGATGGCTCAGTGGAATAAGCGCTTCCCTGGCAAGTGCAAAGGCCTGAGTTCAATCCCTGGTTCCACCAAAAACAAAACAAAACAAAAATTAATATCTTTGATTTGTCTCAGGTCATAGTGACTGGAGCTAACTTATTTTTTCTCATGTAGGACACTATGGATTTTTCATAGAGAAGGATTCTCAAGTTCTGGTTATTATATCGTTAGAAGGGCTACTGTCAGCACCCTTTGGATCTGGTTAGGAGTGTCCAAAACTACAGGGAGGAACTTGGCTGAGTTCAGAGGACAGCTCCTTGTGCCGATTCTGGCCCTTGATAGGACCTCATCTGCATGTCACAGATCAGACAAGGGTGTCTGACTGCCTTAGTGTAAAACTGCACTCTTAGCTGTCTAGCCTCAGGCAAGCTAAGTAGCCTTGCTGTGCCTTGGTTTCTTACTTTCTTAGTAACTGGAGGTCATCATGGAAGTGATCTAACAGGGTTGTTATGAGTATTGCATGATTTAAAAGCAAGAAAGCACTGAGAACAGTTTCTGACCTAAGTGCTCAGTAATATCAGCTGCTCCTGATTTCCCCCTTTATTCTTTTTTTTTTTTT